ACTATACATTAGTTTTTGGTTTTGATATTATGGGTGGTATATTGAAAATATTCTATATTTTCGGGCTCAACTGAATAAATATAATGCAGCATTCTGTGCTCCTGAATTTTTCAGACCTAAGAATTGCATTAGACTGTAGAAATTAATGACTGTGACAACTACAAATTCAGCTGAAATCACAAATTTATTTAAATCTGAGTTATCAAACGAAATCAAAAATGTAATTCACATCCCCATGGGTCTGAACTACTATCGCATCATGCAACTGTTAATTTCATTATAACTTTTTTTTTAGATTTGTTGACATTTTTTACTATGTCCATTTGGAGATTTGTATACATATGAATCTCTAAAAATCTCTGAAAATCAATTTTGTTACGAAATGAAACATACATGGCTATGCCTTACCTTTCCCCCCCTCACCACCTCCTTTCCCTCCACTCTCTTCTCAGTTAGACACTCTTCTCTTTTCTAACCAAACCCTTTCATCTTCTCTCTCTTTCCCACTCAGCTTTCATTTTAAATTCTTGTTAATTTTAAAGAATACAAAACCATTATTTTGATGGAGCAAAGGTACGGAAGGTATATTTTTACAGGGAGCATCTTTTAGAAATTCTACTTAAATGTATAATTACTTATATTTGCATACATTTAGACATTATAGGGACACATTAGTAATTTTTCATATGTGTTTTAGTTTATATCTTTGTATCCATTTGACATTGAACATTGAGTGCCTAAGGGGCATTGTACATCAATGTCTGCATATTATACACATTTATTTGTGCTTCTCCTTCTATATGTTTTTATGAAAATTAGCTCAACTCAGGTGGGGGTTATCAGTGAATATTTATGGTGGGATGATAAGTGTACTTTATTTTCTCAAACTTTCTCTATTAGAATTGAGAGATCATATAGAGAGGAATTCTTATACATAAAAAAATTTGGGTACCGTAATAATAAATTAGACTCACAGCAAAAATTCAAACATTACCAGTATAAAGCATTGGGTATTTGTATAGAAGGGCCTTACAAGCCTCAAGGGCCTGACAAGGACTAAATAACAGAAGAATGTTACTGTAGTTGTGGACGTGATGTATTTTATACAGCAGTGGCTAGGCTATGCTAAACTTGACAGCGTTCACTGTGTTTATGCTGTGTAGAACACTGTCTAAATTATGTCAGGAGCTCTGTACTGGGGTGGTAGGCTGGATCAATGACCAGGATGACTGCCCACCACTCCAGTATACAGCTCCCGGCTGACAAAATTCAGGAAGAAAGAGGCGGCACCCTTTAAGTGCAGTATAAAAGCTCTTTAATAGGTAAAAAATGTAGTAATACAGACCACTCACAAAAGATAAGCAGATTAGCGCTTGTTGTCTAAAAAAGCATCCACTTTAGGTGAAGGAGTGTGGAGTCTCTAAGCGAATGGGGACATCTAAAGCAGATGCTTTTTAGACAACAGGTGCTAATCTTCTTATCTTTTGTAAGTGGCCTGTATTACTATACATTTTTACCTATTAAAGAGCTTTTATACTGCACTTAGAGGGTGCCGCCTCTTTCTTCCTGATCTTCCACAAGGCAAGATAGACAAGGCGCAACAGTCCTCCTTCACAGCATACACAGCCAAGAGTGGGCTAAGAGCCATGAACTTCAGCCTTTCCCCCTTTTTATACCACAGGTGGGCAGGCTGGCACCAAAAGCTCGGGAACTGTACACACACACTTTGAACTCTTTCCCCCTCAGCCTGGACTAGACACTAACTAATGGAGTAATAAACAACCTGCCTACACCCTGATCTTGCCATAGGAAGTGCTGTTGTAGGAACCATACATGTGATCTGTACAGGAAGGCATTTCTCATCAGCCCTTCTGTACTTTCTGTTCTTGACTTTTGCTGCTGAATACTTCAGTTGTCTCCAGGCCCCGTGAAGTCTCACTGACCACACCTAGACTTATGTTCTCATAGCATGTTTTATACATGGTACACAGTCGTATGTAAAAGAAACACCGGTCACTCTTGGTATCATTGCCAGCTTAGCATTCATGGGAGGAGACCAGGCATCTGGGAGACATCAGAAGTTGATGGCCAATAGATACATAGTAAAGTCATAGTTTTGTCATCATGCTACAGCCGTGGCCTACCTCTGGTTGTAGCCTCACATTCAGTAGATTGCAGGTGTCATTGGATGACGTGTGGATGGTGAGCAGATAATCTCAGCAGTGCAATTTATTGCCCAATGATGAGAAGCCTCTGCAGCATCTTTAGTTTATACAGATGGGAGAAGGATGTGCAGATCTGCCAAGGCAAATACTGAAAGAGGTGTCAGTGGCTTTCTGGACTCCAATTAAGCTGCTTTCACACGGATCTGCTTTTGGTGCATTCTTCAGTTAAAAAAAGTAGTAGAAGAAACTGCATTCCTTCAAATTCTATGCAGCTCTTCACACTAGTTTGTTGTGCTTCAGTTGCAGTTAAACAAAATCCTGCTTGCCGGATTTTTGCTGCGTGTTCGGTCGGGAAAAAAAAAAAAAAAAAAAAACACACCAAAAATGCATCCATCCATTGAAATAAATGGAAACCACATCAAAAATACATGCAAGACGCATCAAAAATGCAACACAAATTCTTAATCCTCAGTTTACAGAATTGTAGGGAAATCACATTGCATTCAATGGTAAGCACAGTACAATTTTGGAAAAGGTTCCTTGTGGATTTCAGAGTTATTTCAGCCCCATAGATTTCTATGTTATCTCGCAGAAGTCATCAGCATAACAAGCAAACAACTCTGATAGATTCAGTGGGTTTTTTTAACCCTCACCTCGGTCCTTTCCTTTAATTGATCAATCGATTGACCCTTCCTTTATTCGACCCTTTCTTCGGTCGACCAACCCTTCCTTCGAAGGATCGAAGGAAGGTTTACTCAATCAATCTTTTTTTTGATTGATTGGCCCTTTGATCAACCCTTCCTTTTAGCAACCAGCCTTTCCTTCAATCATTTGATCAGCCCTTCCTTTGAACGATTGATTGACCCTTTCTTCGATCAATCAATTGACCCTTCCTTCAATCAAACGATTGACTCTTCCTTTGATAGATCGATCGACCCTTCCTTTGTTACATCAATTGACCTTTCCTCTGATCGACCCTTCCTTTGATTAATTGACCCTTCTTTCAATTAACCAATCGAACCCTTCCTTATATCGATTGACCCTTCAATCGAAGAAACGATTGACAAAAGGAAGGATCAACTGATCAATAAAAGGACGAATCAGTTGATTAAAGGAAGGATCGATAGATTGAAGGAAAGATCAGTAGATTGAAGGAAGGATCCATCGATCAAAGGAAGGACTAATCGATTGAAGGAAGCATCGATCGATTAAAGAGGAATAAAAAAAAACACTTCAGTGTGAACCCTGGTTTTAGTTCTGGTTCACATATATGCGGATTGGATGAGGTTTGAACCGCATCCAATCCACATGACATGTAAAATAACATTGCTTCCTATGTTGCCTGTTCACATATGTCCGGTGCACTGGCAGTGCGGATTCAGTGCGGTTTGAAAAAAAGAGTCATGTACGATTTCTGAGAAGTGCCTTCAGGTTCAGGTGCGGATATTGACTTCTATGGGAACCGTTCCTAAACCGCAAATGTGTGAACAGGTTAAGATGCTGAGCTAATCCTGTCCTGAACCTGATGTAAACCCAACCTGAACCTCTGAACAACTACTGTATCAATTGTGAAACCTAAGCTTGAACCCTGGTTCACACTGATGCGGTGGGGAATTCGCAGCACTTTCAGTGCAAGTTCCGCACGCATCAGAATCGCACCCCGTTCATGCGAACCGCTGCGGGTGTGTATGTTAAGTTAACAACACCCCCCGAAAGCAGTCCACAAAACGTGGTGCGATGTGCAGAATCGGGTCACATAGGTGTGAATACCCATGCGATCTAATTCTAGTGCAGACCCAAAAAAGGGACAAAATGTATGGCTCCAATCACACCACACACAAATTGCATGTGATTTGCACAGGTGTGCGGTTCCTGTGCGAATCACATGCAACATACCGCACCGCATATATGTGAACCCAGGCTTAATCTGCACCGCACATGTGAATTAGGCAGCAAGGATGAGGGAGGAGATGTGAGGGTTTAAAAAAAAAACAAAAACACTGATCCATCAATGTCACATAGAATTTCTTATCTATGCTAATGTGACTTCTTTGAGATAACATAGAAGTCTATGGGACCAAAATTGCACTGAAATTGGAATATAATGTGATTTCGCTTGTCATGAAATTCAGTGAACCCAGGCTTGAGAACTTCTAAAGCAGCGGTTCTCAACCTGGGGGTCGCGACCCCTTTGGGGGTCGAACGACGCTTCCACAGGGGTCGCCTAAGACCATCGGAAAACACATATTTCCGATGGTCTTAGGAACCGAGACACCGCTCCTCGCCGCCGCCGCCGCCACCGCCGTCTCCAGGTGTGGGCGGGATGACATGCCGCCCCTGTCATCTGGACACACCTCGAGATCAATCCTCGCCTGTGATTGGCCGCCGGCACTGTAGCTCAGGCACACAGGCGGCCAATCACCGGCAAGGAGGTGGAGCTTGGAGAGGAGGGGCCGAGCGGCACCGCGAAGATCGAGCGAGTGAAGAGGAGGAGAGCGGCCGGAGAAGGAAGACAGCTGACAGGTAAGTGTCTGTACCATGGGAGAGGGAGGGAGCGAGCGAGCCCAGGCTGGAGCAGGGGTCTGCAAGGTAAGTATCACTGGTGTCAGTGGGAATAGTGCCCCATCATTGGTGTCACTAATACCAATGATGGGGCACTATTCCTCCCACAGACACCAATGATGGGACACTATTCCTCCCACTGACACCAACGATGGGGCACTATTCCTCCCCCCACTGACACCAACAATGAGGCACGATTCCTCCCCCAAATGACACCAACGATTGGGGCACTATTCCTCCCCCACTGACACCAAGGATGGGGCACGATTCCTCCCCCCACTGACACCAACGATGGGGCACAATTCCTCCCCCCACTGACACCAACGATGGGGCACAATTCCTCCCCCCACTGACACCAACGATGGGGCACAATTCCTCCCCCCACTGACACCAAGGATGGAGCACAATTCCTCCCCCCACTGACACCAAGGAAGGGGGCACTATTCCTCCCCCCACTGACACCAAGGATGGGGCACTATTCCTCCCCCCACTGACACCAAGGATGGGGCACTATTCCTCCCCCCACTGACACCAATGATGGGGCACTATTCCTCCCCCCACTGACACCAATGATGGGGCACTATTCCCCCCACTGACACCTATGATGGGGCACTATTCCTCCCCCCACTGACACCAAGGATGGGGCACTATTCCTCCCCCCACTGACACCAAGGATGGGGCACTATTCCTCCCCCCACTGATACCAATGATGGGGCACTATTCCCCCCACTGACACCAATGATGGGGCACTATTCCCCCCACTGACACCTATGATGGGGCACTATTCCTCCTCTCACTGACACCTATGATGGGGCACTATTCCTCCCACTGATACCGATGATGAGGCACTATTCCTCCCACTGATACCGATGATGAGGCACTATTCCTCCCACTGATACCAATGATGAGGCACTATTCCTCCCACTGACACCAATGATGGGGCACTATTCCTCCCACTGACACCAATGACGGGGCACTATTCCTCCCACTGACACCAATGACGGGGCACTATTCCTACCACTGATACCAATGACGGGGCACTATTCCCCCCACTGACACCTATGACGGGGCACTATTCCCCCCACTGACACCTATGACGGGGCACTATTCCTCCCCCTCTGACACCTATGACGGGGCACTATTCCTCCCCCCACTGACACCAATGACGGGGCACTATTCCTCCTCCCACTGACACCTATGACGGGGCACTATTCCTCCTCCCACTGATACCAATGATGGGGCACTATTCCTCCTCCCACTGATACCAATGATGGGGCACTATTCCTCCTCCCACTGATACCAATGATGAGGCACTATTCCTCCCACTGATACCAATGATGGGGCACTATTCCTCCCACTGACACCAATGACGGGGCACTATTCCTACCACTGATACCAATGACGGGGCACTATTCCTCCCACTGACACCAATGACGGGGCACTATTCCTCCCACTGACACCAATGACGGGGCACTATTCCTCCCACTGACACCAATGACGGGGCACTATTCCTACCACTGATACCAATGACGGGGCACTATTCCCCCCACTGACACCTATGACGGGGCACTATTTCCCCCCCACTGACACCTATGACGGGGCACTATTCCTCCCCCCACTGACACCAATGACGGGGCACTATTCCTCCTCCCACTGACACCTATGACGGGGCACTATTCCTCCTCCCACTGATATACCAATGATGGGGCACTATTCCTCCTCCCACTGATACCAATGATGGGGCACTATTCCTCCTCCCACTGATACCAATGATGAGGCACTATTCCTCCCACTGATACCAATGATGGGGCACTATTCCTCCCACTGACACCAATGACGAGGCACTATTCCTCCCACTGACACCAATGACGGGGCACTATTCCTACCACTGATACCAATGACGGGGCACTATTCCTCCCATTGACACCAATGACGGGGCACTATTCCTCCCACTGACACCAATGACGGGGCACTATTCCTCCCACTGACACCAATGAAGGGGGCACTATTCCTCCCACTGACACCAATGACGGGGCACTATTCCTCCCACTGATACCAATGACGGGGCACTATTCCTCCCACTGATACCAATGATGGGGCACTAGTCCTCCCACTGACACCAATGAAGGGGGCACTATTCCTCCCACTGACACCAATGACGGGGCACTATTCCTCCCACTGACACCAATGACGGGGCACTATTCCTCCCACTGACACCAATGACGGGGCACTATTCCTCCTCCCACTGACACCAATGACGGGGCACTATTCCTCCCACTGACACCAATGACGGGGCACTATTCCTCCCACTGACACCAATGAAGGGGGCACTATTCCTCCCACTGACACCAATGACGGGGCACTATTCCTCCCACTGATACCAATGATGGGGCACTATTCCTCCCACTGACACCAATGACGGGGCACTATTCCTCCTACTGCAAAATTACAGTTATGAAGTAGCAACGAAAATAATTTTATGGTTGGGGGTCACCACAACATGAGGAACTGTATTAAGGGGTCCCGGCATTAGAAAGGTTGAGAACCACTGTTCTAAAGTCACATTGAAGTCTCATCAAAGTCACATCAATAGTCGCACCTGAATTTGCATGATAATCATATTAGAAGAGTGGGAGGTGATATGGGGAAAACACAGCAGAAACACCGCAAAAATGCATCAAAAACGCATAATGCGCTGCGTTAAATTTTAAGCAATGTGGGAAAAGTGGCAAAAATGCATATGCATTTTTTTGATGCGTTGTTCATACAGAGCAGTGTGAAAGTAGCCTTACTGTATCTACTGCACAAAGTAAAATTTTCTGGCCTATTCTCTAACATTGCCTATTTCACACAGAAAAAAAAACAAAACAGGGTGCACTCTCCTCGTGCATTAATGCAAAAACCAAAAATGTATTAAAAAGATGCAAAAACATACTCACAAGCCATAAAGGTCATTGTGACGGAGCGTAGGCAGGACAGAACACACCGAGCAGATGATAACCACACAAAGCTTTATTGAAAGGTGAAAGTCACTCAATTGGGGTCTGAAGGTAGCGTCCCAGTACCCAGAGCAGGGGAAGAGCAGGGATGAGGGGCCCAAAACAACTGTAATCCGGCTCCAGGAGGGCAAAGTTGGAGTCTCTGGTAAATTGTAATCCAGACAGGGAAGAGTAAGGGGGGAAAGTTTATGAACAGTCCATAGAGGGAGAAAAACAGGGGTGCAGACACTCACAGTTCCGGCAGGTACTAGTCCTGATACTCCAGCACACAACAACACAAGCAATCCTGGCCCCACAGTATTTGGCAATATAGCAGCAGGTACTCCTCCTGAGCCCTGAGTATTAGCAGAGTGTTCAGCGGGTGATAGTCCTGGTATCCCTGGGGTAATGCAGAGTACTCAGCAGGTAATAATCCTCTATCTCCCTGGTGTATTGCAAAGTGCTCAGCGGGTAATAATCCTCTATTCCCTGGTGTATTGCAGAGTGCTCAGCGGGTAATACTCTGGTGATCCCCGGGGTCTTAGCAGACTGGCTGCGGGGGTCTTGCCTCAGCGTAAACCTCCCAGCAGCTGGCAGCGGATAGAACAACCAGGAGAGCCCTGCATCAGCCTTCTTAAGGCTTTGCAGGATGCTCCCGGTTGCCCTGGCAATGTTAGGCAGCGTGCCTTGTTGCCCGGGCAACAAGGCATGCCCCCTTGACACGGGCCACGCTCTCAAGAGCGTGGCCTTTGTCTCCAGCGGGTGCAGGCGTAGGAAGCCTCGTGCCCGCGCCGCACCCACCGGGGGGGGCGCGCAGCATCAAGTCGGCTGCCCTGTCCCGGACCTTCCCGGCGGGAGGTCACCCCTCTCCGGGCCGTATGGTCAGCAGAGGTGTGAATCTCGCCGCAGGGGGTCATCTTCCTCCCGCCCGGCTGCGCTGGATGGAAGAAAGCGACCCGCGGCAGGGGTGAGAAGTAACATTTCTCATTCTGTGCGGCCCGGCTTCAAAGGGCCATGACAGGATGAGAAGGGGGGGTGAAGGGACACAGGCACTAGGAGGGGGGTGGAGAGAAGCTTCCGCAGGCACACCGTGACAGTCATAAAAACAGACACAAGAAGTCAAAAGTGCCAATCGTGGACAGTGTGCATCCTTGGAAAAAGTGCTAATGCGTTTCGGGAGTCAAACATAAAATACACAGAGCAGAATTCAGGTATGTCATAACAAACATCAAATTACAAACATTACGTTTCATTTAGCCAGTAATTGTTTTGTAGTTATACTCCATACTAAAGTGATACTAAAGTCTTGTTTTGTTTTTTTTAAATAACATACATGTCTATACTTACCTATTCCGTGCAGTGGTTTTGCACAGAGCAGCCCTGATCTTCCTCTGCTTCTTGGGTCCTCCCTTTTGTCGGGTGCCCCCATAGCAAGCAGCTTGCTATGGGGGCACCTGAGCAGGTATGCTCCCAAGCCGTGGCTCTGCATGTCTAGTCACACACAGAGCTGTGGCTTGGTCCCATCCCCTCCCTCTCCTGAGTGGCTCACTGGCTGTGATTGACAGCAGCAAGGGCCAATGGCTCCTACTGTTGCCTTAGCCAATTGGGAGTGAGAACCAAGGCTCTCGTGCATATTGCTGGAACGGGATGGGGCTCAGGTAAGTGTTGGGGGGGGGGCTGCTACACACAGAAGGTTTTTTACCTCCATGCATAAAATGCACGAAGGTAAAAAAAACCTTGAGACTTTAGAAGCATTTTTAAATACTACCATACATAATTCATCCAAAAATATCTGCTCAGAAAACAGCCAAAACATAGCAGTTGCACAATTAAACAAATGAACAAACATATGTGACATTTTTCTTTTCTGATTCCTCATCAATACCAAAATAAAGGTCCACAGATAGAGGTTTTGTTCCCCAAAAGTCTGGCAGAAAATGAACACTTTTTTCTCTTTTGACCTGCAAAATAGTGCTGCACAGTCATGCTGATGGTCCTTCTTGGAATGAAACACCTTAGGTAGATTTTTACCCCTTGCACAAGACATGCCCGGAGACATGAGCAGCTACACATAAAGTTTGATTTACTAAAACCGGAGAGTGCAAAATCTGGAGCAGCTCCGCATGGTAGCCAATCTGCTTCCAGGTTTTTTTTTGTTGAAGCTTAATTGAACGAGCTGAAGTTAGATTCTGAATGCTCCAGTTTTAGTAAACCAACCCTATACTGTGTTCCACCCGACATGAATGCGAAAGGGTGCTAATAACTATCATACAATAGAACAGAGCAGAAACATTAGCCACATCGATTACAGTAAAATGAGTAGCTATAGGTGGTGATTGACCAAAGAGTCTATACTAACTTGGAACTAGAAAGTATCTTCCTATATTATTTTGGTAATTGCCCTTAAATTATGGACTGTGCACTAAAAAAGCGATTGTCCTTTTTCTATTGTCTTTTTCACTGGAAACAAGTTTTCCAGGGATGTGCAAGGCACAAGAATTCCATTTTCCCAATTACTGGTTAAACTAGTTT